GATAAAAGTCGCAACTAGTTCCGTCCCAAACTTTCAAGTTTTTCGGCTTTGTAGTGGACACACATATCTTGTGTTTGAGTCTTCCACTAGAGAAACGGGAAAAGATTAAAATAGCAGCTGAAAAATTAAAAGACATGTCAGTCGTGAAAATTTAGTATTTGGCCCAATTTATAGGATGCCTTATTGCAGTTTGCCCTGCAGTACAAGATGGGATATTGTATACAAAACAATTGGACAGACAAAAGTTTTTAGATCTCAGGAAGAATGGAGGTTACTATGAAGGGAAGGTTCCAATTGAATCCTATCTTCACGCAGATATTGATTGGTGGATCAATAATATTGACATTACAAAGAATCCTATTAGAGAGGGTAAATTTGTCATGGAAATTTTTTAAGATGTTTCGAACGCCGGATGGGGTATCTCTTGTGGTGAGAGATGCTCACATGGATGGTGGAGTGATAAAGAGAAGCAAGACCACATAAACTTACTTGAGTTAAAAGCAGCATTTTATGGATTAAAATGTTTTGCTACTAACATAAGAAACTCAGAAATTTTGCTCAGAATAGATAACCCTACCGCGATTTGTTACATAAATACATGGATTCAGGCTGCGTAATTAAATCATCACAAAATGTCGAAGCTGATGAGAATCCTGCATAAGGTCGAAGGCGAATAAATGGGAGCTCGCGAATTATGCTATCGAAGAAATTGTGTATAGATTTGGCCAGCCAAAAGTCGATTTGTTTGCAACAAATAATAATACTAAATGTCGGATTTTCTGTCCTTGGTTTCCCTACCCGGAAGCTAAGGAAATAGACGCTTTTTCCACTGATTGGTCTAATCTTGTTTTTTACGCTTTTCCCCCTTTTGCGTTTATACTGAAGGTTATTAGAAAGATAATTAATGACCAAGCAGAAGGGATATTGGTAGTACCTAATTGGCCATCACGACTTTGGTTTCCACTGTTCAATGAATTGCTTGTATCTCCACCTATATATTTTGTGAGAGATATTTATCTACTTCGTTCTCCTTTCAGAGAATTCCACACCGCTCGGAAGTCGCTAACCTTAGTTGAAGGCAAATTATCAGGGGAGCGTTCATCGAAAAGCAAGCGCCTGAAGATTCCTTGCAGTACATATTAGCGTCGTTGTCAGACAATACATTAAAATAGTACAATAAAGCTATTACATCTTGGAATGAATTTTGTCGGAACAAATCTCTTTCTCCGTTTAACCCCACTGTGTCAGCTGTATTAGAATTTTTGTCTTCGATAGCAATTGGCATAAACAAGTACGGTACTCTTAACACGTACAGATCAGCTATCTCATTGTTGTCAACGTGGGATATTGAAAAGAACCCAACGATTAAGAGGTTCTGCCGGGGGTTTCAGTGTTGAAACCGCAACGTCCTAAATATGACGAGACATGGGACCCCAGTATAGTTCTAGATTTTCTATCGAGCTTGAGATCCACAAATGAATTAGAACTCTATCTTCTTACTAAGAAGCTTGCGGTTCTCTTCGCTTCAGTAACGACACAAAGAGTTCAAGCCTTATCCAAAATAAAGATTTCGAACATACATTTCAACTCTTTCTCGACTGTTTGAGTATGCAACCCTGCACCAAGGCCAGAATCTACCACAGGAGATGTCGCTGCTGCTAGTACAATACGTGACTCATCCCTATTGGGAAGGCTCCTGTTAATCAACGTTCCGTTACACCTTCCACCTTCTGTGGAAGGCATAAAAGGCCGATGTTGTCGTTTAAAACTTCTCTTTTTTCGCGAAACCTCAGCAGCAGCAACATCAGGAGAGAATAAGTTTTAAAAAAACCCCTCTTCATATGTACAGCTGCCCTTTTTATTTAAATAAATCTGTGTGTAACAAAAACTAAAAGTTTTCCTTCTTTTTCTTTTTTTGTTGGAGAAGGTTTTATTTATTTTTCAGCTTGAGGAATGCCTGAAGGTTCGGCCCTATCTTACGATCCCCGTCTCCAGAATTCATTAGGAATTCTGGCCCATCCATCCCGGCACGAATATTGGTCCTTCGAGCCGAATCCCAGAAGGCGATCTTAGTATTTCGTGTTTTTTTTGTGCTTTTTTTTTATTTCCTTTTTTTTTAATTATTAAATTTTTTCTTTTCCATTTTATTATATTTTTTCTCAACATCAGTCTTATTTTGGCGACTGAATTCGTTTTCGAAACAAAAACAAAAAGGAGAATTTAATGGAAAGGCATCACTGCGTACTACAGTGGAAGTTAAAAGTTGAGTTCCACTGCTTCCAATAAGCACCAACTGTTGGTCCTGGATGTAAAAAAAAAAATAAAAAGAAACGCAAAAAAGGGGGCATACATAAGTGAAAAGTGCATAAAAGTGAAACTGCACAACAGTGAAAGCGCATATAAGTGAAAAGTGCAGTGAAAGAAAAAGTGAAGAGTGCAGAAAATTGGAGCGTCGGCAAGAAAATTGCCACGAAAAAAGGCGCCCAGCTGCATAAAAGTGAAACTGCACAACAGTGAAAGTGCATATAAGTGAAAAGTGCAGTGAAATACAAAGTGAAGAGTGCAGAAAATTGGAGCGTCGGCAAGAAAATTGCCACGAAAAAAGGCGCCCAACTGCATACAAGTGAAACTGCACATCAGTGAAAGTGCATATAATTGAAAAGTGCAGTGAAAGAAAAAGTGAAGAGTGCAGAAAATTGGAGCGTCGGCAAGAACATTACCACGAAAAAAGGCGCCCAGCTGCATAAAAGTGAAACTGCACAACAGTGAATGTGCATATAAGTGAAAAGTGAAGTGAAAGAAAAGGTGAAGAATGCAGAAAATTGGCTTTACCAAGCCCAACGTGTAAGCTACAAGGCTCTACCAAGCCCTACGTGTAAGCTACAAGGCTCTAAAAAGCCCAACGTGTAAGTTACAAGGCTCTACCAAGCCCACCGTGTAAGCTACAAGGTTCTACCAAGCCCACCGTGTAAGCTACAAGGCTCTACCAAGCCCAACGGGTAAGCTACAAGGCTCTACTAAGCCCCCCACTGTGGGAAGCAAATCCACTTAAACAACGGCATCGCTTTACCCAGAACACAAAACACATTCGATCAACAAAAACCAAAAAAAAAAACAAGTAAGCAGCATTTAAGGGTAAGTCCTCTTGCACATCTGTTTACTTTTAACAAATTGGAATTGAGATAACACAACAAAACATTTCTCGGTTATACGTACGTTGATGATACATTACTCCGGAAGTACCACGGTTCGCTAATGTAATAACGTGTAAACTGATAATTTAGTTTAGTTTAGATTCACATTAAGCAACAACGATCGGCAGAATTCAGATTCTGGTTGACTTAATCTTTAGGATTGTCGAATAAAAGTTTTAAAAGCGATTTTTAAAAATCTGTATTTCGAAATGACAAGTTTATACGATTTTTCGCGCGCGTGTGATGCATTGCTGGAGTTCGAAGAATTGTACAACAACACTCCTAATGCAAGTCATTCGGTCTACTCGCTCGAGATTCGAAAAGACGAACTCAAGGCATTATAGCTGAAGGTAAAAGAATCGTTCGATACATATTATCGAAGTTTATCTGAGGACGAATCGGGCGCCGCAGCCATGTGTTCAGCAAAATTTAGGTATCAGAATTGCTACGCAGCATATCTGACGTGCGCGGCGTTGATGGGAGAGACCATTCATAATCTCACATTCGTGCAACAGACCTCGTCGACAGTAAATCCCATATCCAGGGAAGTCGAACAGAGTCCGCGACTTAATATTAATCTACCCCCATGCGATGCTGAAATTTTTTATGGCGACTACATGGCATGGCCATCTTTTCGCGACTCATTCACCGCAATCTATATAAACAATTCGCGACTAAGTCCAGTAGAGAAATTGTTTCATTTGAATCAAGAGACGCGTGGCGAAGCAAAAGACATAGCTAAAAAATCGCCTTTATCTAATTAGGGTTTTCTTGCCGCGTGGCAAAATTTGTCGGAGAGGTACGAAAACAAACTTGTCATGGTTAATAGCCAGTTGAAAACGCTGTTTAACTTACCATCAGTGAGTGTCGAACGCAGTGCTGAGATCAAAAATTTACAACGATCTTTAAATAATTGTATCTCAGTTCTGCGAATGTATGGAATAGACATCGAGAACTGGGACGCGATATTTGTTTTCCTGGCATCAAGTAGACTGCCTGATACCACACTAGCGTTATGGGAACAAGGAATTCTTCAGAAAACGGAAATTCCGAGGTGGGAGTAACTGGATCAGTTTCTGACCGGTAGATTTCAGACACTGGAAACAGTATCTGACTTACAAAGTTCCAGATCTTCGAGGCCTTTGCCCAGCAAAACCACTATACCACAGCCTAACAGAAGGATTGCTGCCCATCTTGGTCAATTTTCACAGACTGTTTGCAGATTGTGTTCCGATTAAGCTCACGTTTTGAAGAGTTGTCCGAAATTTTTGACCATGAACGTGGATGATAGGGTAAAGGTCGTGAGAAAACATAATTTATGCATGAATTGCCTAGCACACTCCCATATAGCAAGGGACTGCAAAAGTCCATTTAACTGTCTAAGTAGCCACCAAAGGCATCACTCCTTGCTACATCGCTTTGCTATGACGCGATTTTGGGAATTGGAGGAAATTCCAAATCGGAAAAAGCAGATGAATCAAGAGGAATCATACTGCGAAGACCAATTCCGAAACACAACAGCGAGAGATGGAGAAGGGCGCTACATGGTGTCATTGCCATTCCGGCGGGAATTTCCGACGGATGTCAGCCTGGGATATTCCCGCAACAGTGCAACCCAGCAGCTCCTCCGGAATGAGTCATCCCTACTNATATTCAATATCGAACTGGTATTCTCCTAATTTGAAAAGCCATCGCTGGTGTCTGGGCGACATGTCCTTTCCACTTTACTTGGAATGAAGATATTTTGGTCACATGGTAAGAGTTGAGAACTCAGGAGGTAGGCCTCATGATAGATTTTACCTGCCTCACCACGCGGTCATCAAATCGGACAGCACGACCACCAAAGTGCGTGTGGTATTCAATGCCTCCTCACCATCATCTAATGGAGTAAGCCTAAACGATGTTCTCCATCCTGGACCAGTACTCCAAGCGGACCTCGTTTGTCTGCTGCTGAAGTGGCGGTTTTTTAAATACGTCTTTAACGCAGACATCGAAAAAATGTACCGGCAAATACGGTTGCAGCCGGACAATACGCGTTATCAAAGAATCGTCTACAGAGGATCACAGAATGAAGAGTTAATGGACTACGAACTCCTAACCGTAACGTTCGGTGTAAATTGCGCTCCGTACTTGGCAATAAGAACGCTTTTCCAGTTGGCAGACGATGTCAGCGCCCGCTGGCCACTTGCTTCCAAGGTATTGAAGCAGTATATGTATGTGGATGATGTATTGGCAGGAGCTCATGACAGGGAAACAGCCATTCAAACTCGAGATGAACTGATAGAGGCGTTAAAAGGAGCGGGATTCCCACTCAGGAAATGGACGTCTAATACTACAAGTATTTTAGCTGGATTACCGAAGGAACATCTGCTGAAGGAAGAATTTCTGAACATCGATGACTTGAGCGAGGCGAAGATGCTGGGTATCAGATGGAATGCAGCTCAAGACGCCTTCTATTTCAACGTGCAACACATCCAGGTAAGGCCTAGCTACTCAAAGAGGGAGGTACTATCATGTGTAGCCAAACTATTCGATCCGGCCGGTTGGTTGGGTCCGATCGTAGTAAAGGCAAAAATACTCATGCAGGATATATGGTTAGCTAAAATAGACTGGGACGATAGCCTACCGAGAAACCTCTACCTTCGTTGGGAACAATTTCTCAACAATTATAGGTACATAGGTGAAATCCGTGTTCCCAGATGGATTCATTTTACTCCTTGGGATGAAATTGAATTCCATGGATTTTGTGATGCGTCGGAAAAGGCATACGCCGCAGCGGTATACGTGAAAATACGGGAACGTAATTCCGATAGCGTGCCGTACATTAACTTATTGGTAGGTAAAACGAAGGTAGCGCCTGTGAAAACTATCTCGCTACCTCGGTTAGAATTGTGTGGCGCATTACTTCTGTCTGAATTAATTAACACGTTGCTCCCACAACTGGAAATATCTCAACCAGTGGTGTATAAGTGGACCGACTCGACCATTGTACTTTCGTGGCTGAAGAAGCCACCGTGCTCCTGGACAACGTTCGTGGCAAACAGAGTCGCCAAGATTGAAGAATTAGTAGGAAGCTCAGGATGGAATCACGTAGATTCAGCTGGGAAGCTCAGGATGGAATCACGTAGATTCAGCTGACAACCCCGCTGATCTTGGCAGTCGCGGAGCTTGGCATGGACCAAACTGGTTGACCAAGGAACAATCTCAATGGCCACTTCACGAGAAGGACATTGCCTTTAATACGGAGTTAGAGCAAAAGACAACGCGAGTACATGCAACCAGCGTCCAAGACTACGAAGATATTTTAGATAGGTTCTCAGATTTCTCCAGAGCACTGCGCGTAGTAGCAAGAATTTTCAGGTTCTATAAACGAGCGCTCCCGACGCACCAACAAACAGTGACGGAGAATCAAAGCGAGTTAACCACGGAAGAAATTCGAGGAGCCAAAGCACTCGGAGGAATACCAGGCTCTGAGCAAGTCAGCTCCCGTCAGCGCAAAAAGTGCTCTAAAAACTCTAAACCCATTTCTCGATAAAAATGGGGTTATGAGAGTTGGAGGAAGACTTGCGCTGTCGAATTTGTCATATAGCGAGCGTTTTCCCATCATTCTACCCTACAGTTGCCAATTCTCTAGACTGCTCGTAAAATTCTCCCATTTGATTTCGCCAATTTCCAATTAATGGTGAGACTGTTGAGATCAGAGTTTTGGATCGTCAGGATGAAAAACCTTGTAAAAATATTGTTAACAATTGTAAAGTTTGTATCATTTACAGGAAGAAAACGCGAGTACAAATAATGGCAGCCTTACCTCCAGAACGCACAGAGCTAACCAGACCATTCGCAAACACGGGCATCGATTTCACCGGCCCGTTCGACATTCGTAACTTTACCGGACGAGCCCGCCTAATTACTAAAGGCTACGTCTGCGTCTTCGTATGTTTTGCAACAAAGGCTATCCACTTAGAAGCCACAAGCGATTTGCCTACCTCAACCTTCATAGCCGCCTTGAATCGATTCGTAGCTCGGCGCGGATGCCCACGCAATATATATTCCGATAATGGCACGCATTTCGTGGGGGCTAACAAAATGATAAAGCAGGATTTTTAGAACTTCGTCAAATCGGCATCCTATCTGGCTATTCAATCCTTCGCCCACCAGGAGTTGAGCTGGCACTTCATACCTCCCGGTGCACCCCATATGGGAGGATTATGGGAAGCCGGAGTAAAAAGTTTCAAAACACATTTCAGGAAGGTATCGGAATCAATGCGATTCACGATGGAGGAATCAACCCTGTTAGCCAAAATCGAAGCTTGTCTAAACTCAAGACCGATTAGCCCGCTTTCAGACGACCCCGACACATTGGAACCACTCACCCCAGGACACTTTTTGGTCGGAAGCCCGCTACTCGCAATGGCTGAACCGGAGACAGTCGGCAACCCGATATCAATCGTCAACCGCTGGCAGAAGATAAAAGCAATTCACCAAGGATTCTGTCGGCGTTGGAAAGCAGAATACCGTAAAAAATTGCAGAAACGCGTGAAATGGCAATCACCCCAACGAAACCTCGAAGTGGATGACTTCGTAGTTATTAAAGAAGATAACTCACCCCCAAACGAATGGCGGCTCGGCAGAGTCAGTCGAGTTTTTTTAGGTTCAGACAATCGAGTTCGAGTTGCAGAAGTCCGAACGGAACGCGGAATAATCTCGAGGCCAATCGTGAAACTTGTTTATCTGCCAATCGCGAAGGTTTAAGTAATTTCTTTTTCTCTTTTTCCAGAATTCCACCCAACAGTCAAAATGGTACGAGTCCAACCAAAAAATCACCAAAATAAGAAGGCGACGAACAGATGCCCCGTATGTAGTGATAACCACCGACTAGTGTTTTGCCGGGAGCTGCGTCGCATGGAAGCGGCCGAGAGACTACGAGCCGTCCTCGTGCACCACCATTGCGCCAATTGTTTATCCCCCCATCACATGGCGAAAACCTGTCCGTCACCCAAAAGCTGTGATCGGTGTCAACAGCGACACCACAGCCTATTGCATGTAGGGGAGCAAGGTCGGGATGGAGGAGGCGAATCCATTGTTCTGGACAATGACACCACCGCGCGGCGAAAACGACAACCCTACACAGCCAAGGCTTCAGGAGAAAGCAGCGATGACGAAGTGGTGCTAATCCTGGATGCAGATGAGACCGATCTTCATTAGCCAATGACTGAAGCCCCTGCCCTTGTGACTTCTCCGAATCCCAGACCTACTCTGTCGAGGATACGGTCAACGGTACAGAAAGCACCGACACGTGCAGGAGACAACCGCGGCAAACATGACACATGGCGCAGACAGCAGCAACAACAGCGATGAAGGATGAGAGACGCCCGGGAGCGGATCACTGGTTCAGCTCATACCGCACTCGGACAATCTGTCCTCACCCCTACGGTCGCGGTCAAAGTAATGACAGAGGGACATGTATCCCACGTACGTGCCATTGTTGACCCCGGACAAGGCACAAGCACAATCTCTAGGGCCCTGGCACACAGGCTACGTGTGCTGCATAGAGGTGACAAGGCATGCAGACTTGTGCTTAAAGGTTGGCATGAGCGGTTGGAAGTTCAAGCACTAATAACGCCAACACTAAATCGCATAACCCCGGAGCGTACTTTAGACGCCAGAATCAGAAGCGAGTTTGACAACATAAGACTAGCAGACCCGAGTTTTTATCGCTCGAGCAACGTGTCGCTAGTTCTCGGCGCAGAAGTATATGCCGCCATACTTCGCCCTGGATTGATGGCAGCCACTCCTACTCCTCCTGCTGCCCAGAATACGATGTTTGGATGGATGCTTTCGGACAGCACACCCTTCTAGGCCAATACCCCCCAACCAGACAGAACAGGAAGCGGACAGATTTCCATTATAAGTTAAGAACTCGAATGAATTGTGAATCATAAAATTAAGTTGAATTAATGAAATATATATCAATGATATCAATGGCATAAAAGGCCGATGTTTTGCGGAACCTCAGCAGCAGCAACATCAGGTAAGAATAAGTTTTGAAAAAAAACCCTCTTCACATGTACAGCTGCCCTTTTATTCAAAATAAATCTGTGTGTGACATTAACTAAAGATTTTTTTTCTTATTCTTTATTTGTTGGAGAAGGATTTTTTTTCTTTTTCAGCTTGGGAATTGCCTGAAGATTCGTCCCTGTCTTACGATCCCCGTCTCCAGAATTCAGGAGGAATTCTGGCCCATCCATCCCGGCACGAATAGTTAATAAATTGCCTCCTCTCAACAATGATTTTTTATATCGGCTTAATAATTTTATAATTTCTTTACGATCTTAATTTTTTAAATGTTTAATTGAAGCCTTTCGAATTTAGGATCACCAGTTTCCAATATATACATTTGATTAAAGTTGTATGGGGTATTTCCTTTTTCTATATTTATTTGTTCATTTAAGAAATTTTATGTATCGATGCCTATAAAATCATAAGTTTTTCCCCTTAAAGGAGAGATCTTCCAACGAATTGTTAGCAAAATTAAATTTATCCAGGCTTTGTGTCTTTAATTGTCAATACACTAAATGTTATGGGATATTTCAATTTCAATGGTGTACAACTTTGCTTCCGCCTTTTTTTCCAAAATTAAAAGCTTTATTGCGAAAAAGTGCTTACAGATATATTATTCAAAGTATTGTCCTTCCTCTTCCTCCCCATGGATGGTATCCATGAAGCAATCCATTTTTCCAATTCTTCGAAGGATTAAAAATGTTGATCTGCCATGCCGTGTGCCATCGAACGGAAAAGGGGGAAGTCAGAAGGGGCGGCATCTGGGGAATACGGCGGGTGGGACAAGACTTCCCATTTCAGCGTTTCCAGGTACTTTTTGACCACTTTTGCGACGTGAGGTCGAGCATTATCGTGTTGGAGGATGACCTTGTCATGTCGCTCTTGATATTGTGGCCGCTTTTCTTTTAGCACGCGACTAAGGCGCATCAGTTGCGTTTGGTAGCGATCTCCTGTGATGGCTTCACCCCGTTTTAAGAGCTCGTAGTAAATCACACCGAGCTGATCCCACCAAATACAAATCATGACACGTTCTTTCACTCAGAGCAGCATCACCGTAAGCTTCTGAGAGCATTCGATGCACTTTTTTTCGAATTGTAACAGAAAAGTAAAACATCCCGCAAATGGTAAGAATTAGGCACATAAACGGTCATTTTCGAGAGGGAATAATACGAAAACAAGAACAACTGTCACTGAAACTGCTATGACAGTTCGTTAAGCACTGTCCACACTCCATTTGAAGGCATTATCATCTATGTATTTCAACCAGCCTCAGCCGGTACAGCAACCTATCGGAAAACGGCGGACGCAAAGTTGTATTTTATATTTTAATGTCATTTATCTCATTGTTAATTAAACTATGGCACATGTATCTATTAGTGCTACGTATTCTTTATTTTCAATATTTAATTTACCTTTGGCAGACATTATGTGGCTGCCTCGTAACAAAACGGTATTATTAATTTCAGGTCCTTCTGGGCTTTGCCTACCCAAGTTTAAGCGATTTTGGCCAAACTTGCGGATTACTGTAATTTGTTTCAACATTGTCAATTTCCATGGGTTCTGGTAGGTTATATTTATGAGAATTTCAACGAACTTGATTGGAGTTTGGTCTTGAGTTCCCTAATTGGTGAAACTGTCCTGAAAATTTGATATCTCTTACAATATTTTTAAATCTGAATCTTCCAAAATTATTATTTTTATTATTAATATTATAATTATTATTTTTATTCCTATTAAAACTGTTTTGCTCTTCATGTCTATAAAAGTTTGGATTCAATTTGTGTCTATCGTGATACTGACAATAAGCGTCGTTTTTTATTTTGGTACTGATTCGTATGTCGTTCTTCTTTCAAATATGCCTTATATTCGGGTCTTTTATTCATTATGTATAAAATATTCTTTAATTCTCTCTTCATAAATTTTTTCCAATAACGTTCCTTGTGTTATTTCTTTAATTATATTCACTAGCAAGCTACCTATATTCTCTAGGTCTACGCCAGATTCACCATTATAATATATTATTAATTCATCTGTTTTATATTTAATACTTTGAATCCTATCAGTTAATTCTCTCACTGTATTAACCCTTGAATTGGGAATTCTTCCGTAAATATGAAGAGGGTCGGTGTCCGGTTTGTATCTCAACTTTAATGTGTCCTTGATAAGTTTCCAGTTATCCGGCTGGGGGATATTGATAATTGAATTATTTGCTTCACCTTGGATGGTTTCATAGTATATAGCTCTAACTACCTCTTTCCTATTTTCATCGTCTTGTAGCGTTGATATCAAGTATTCCACGCTCCTAAAAAATGAGTTGACGGTTACAACTCCTTGTCCTGTGAAGACTGGAAGATGATTAACATTTTTCAGTGCTCTGTCCAGAATGTCGCGATCTTGCTGTTGCTTTGCTATAATTTGACAACGAAAAAAAAAGAGTAGCGACTGCGCCACTTTTCTATTTAGTTTGCTGTTGAGTATTTTAAAAAAAAACAACAGTACTCGGCCGTGGATACTTGTCAACTGCCTTTATTAATTTTCTTTAATCATAATGAGACTTATTGCTAACATACATTTATGTTGATTCAGCTTAAATTATATTTTACAAATTTAGTTATGCAAAATTCATTTATATTGAAACTAAACGGTTGCGATTCCTGGAATTGCGACCGACAAATAATTTTTTGTCTGGAATTGAACGGAAGTGAGTTTGCTGTTACAGTTTGATATATTTTATTTTACTTTTATTGCGTGCTTATTACCTTTTCAATAAATTTGTCAATCTTGTCATTTTTAATATTGCATTTGTATATGTAGCTTCTCCCCCCTTTAGATTAGAGTTCTCCAGAATTCTTTTGTTCAAATTTATTTTAATATATTTTAACTTTATTCTCCAAATTATAATTTATATTATTATAAAAGTTACACCACATATTACTTTATAATGGGTTTTTAAATTAGAAATATTTTTAAAATTTATTTTATTATTTTATCTATTTGCTCGAACGTAAGTTTTTCAATAAATTTCTTTATATCGTTTTAAAGCAAACTCATGATATTTGCTTCAAATTTTTCAACCAATTTAGAATAATAATACTTTTTAATTTTTATTGAACAACTGTTAAACTGAATTGCATAATTACTATTTTAAAGAGCATTATTATTATTACTATTACATGTTTATAAATAGGTTACTTGCGTTCTTAACCAAAATTGCTTGATCGTCCAGTACTATAAGTTCTAATTCTCTGTTTCTTATTAGTTACCATTTTTTGTTAGTACACAATGGTTACTGACTTTTAATTGTCTGAAATATTTATTTTTTTCAAATTGCACAGCTTTTTCTTTTTTTATGTGAAGATCTCCTCTATTCTTGATTTTTATTTGGCAATTGTATAATTTTCCTTTTTCTTACTTGTATGAACAATTACGGTGTTTTAATATTTAATATTAAATAATTATTTTTAAAATTTGCTATTCCTTATCTAACGTATATTAATTTATTAAAGTCAATATTATATTTTTCGATTTCATTAGATGTTAAGATATTTAAAAGATCTAACCCGTATTTGGCTGAGGCTACATTAAATTGAATTTGTTCTGTTTTACGTTTTATTAATTGGATTTTAGTCATTTATTGTAAATACATATGTTGTTGATATTCTTCGTCAATTTCGTTTTCAATTTCTCCCTTTCAATTTTTACAATATTTTTTATTTGATTTCTAGCTGCATTATAGTGATTGTTTATCTGTACCTGTTGATCTAGTGTTTTGGCGGTCTGTGATAAATGCTTTTGTATCGTCTGTCTATCATCGTCGTTCATTGTTCCTATTGTCCATTTAGCTACAGTGCCTATCGCGTCTATAACTCCTCGTTTTTTCTTTTTTCGGATGGTATAAACGTTGATAATTTGTTTCCTGCTTCTAATAATTCGGCTTGTAATATGTCCCTGTGACTTGATTTTGCTAATACAATGTTGTCAGTCATTTCATTAATAATATTTTCTACCTGTTTAACGTCTATTATGTGTAATACTATGTCACTGTCTTTAACAATTTCTTGGTCTCTTATTTGTGAGTCAACAAATCCTGTTTGGTTTATTAGTTCGGTTAGAGTCATTGTGCCGTCACTCCTTTGAGTCCACGT